GTAAGCACCTGTCTACTCTTCAACTTGATTTTCTTCATAAAAAAAAAAAAAAGTAAACAAACAAGGTTCAAAAAAGTGTCTACATTATTTTAGTAGAGTCAAAATAGGGACTTGAGAAAACAACGTAGACATTATTTCCAGCCTAGTTTGTTAACTTTTTTTTTTTATGAAGAAAATCAAGTTGAAGAGTAGACAGGTGCTTACCTTCTTCAGGTTGAAGTCCTATAACATCATGTTTAATACCAGCCACAAAGATAATGTACAAACACATAATGCAGAACTGTCTTCCAGACCAAGTTCTCCTTTGACACCGCAAGGACATACTCCAGAGTGATGCTAGATCATCGATAAACAGCATGTGTGGTTGCTCTCTCAGCTGATGCTACTGGAGCCCATGATTAGCTCATGCCCAATGAGGTGAATAAAACTCATGTCAACTGACATTCCTTGAAAAAAAAAAAAAGCTAGTTAACCATTTTACTGCAGCTGGCTTTCATACACAACACTATTAAGAATTTCAATCATTCACATGCCTTATCCTCATCAACTGTTTTTACCGGACATACAAGTATATACAAGCTACCTTTCTTATACGACACACGTGGATAAGTACAAGCTAACGTTCTTATACGACACACGTGGATAAGTACAAGCTAACTTCCTTATACGACACACGTACGTAAATACAAGCTAACTTCCTTATACGACACACGTACGTAAATACAAGCTAACTTCCTTATACGACACACGTACGTAAATACAAGCTAACCTCCTTATACGACACACGTACGTAAATACAAGCTAACTTCCTTATACGACACACGTACGTAAATACAAGATAACTTCCTTATACGACACACGTACGTAAATACAAGATAACTTCCTTATACAACAGACGTACATAAATACAAGCTAACTTCCTTATACGACACACGTACGTAAATACAAGCTAACTTCCTTATACGACACACGTACGTAAATACAAGCTAACTTCCTTATACGACACACGTACGTAAATACAAGATAACTTCCTTATACGACACACGTACGTAAATACAAGCTAACTTCCTTATACGACACACATGTGTACACATATCCTAGCTTTCTTATATTTGTCTCAAAAACTTAAACAAACAGTAATGCAGAACATTTTCTTTGTCTATGGTAAAATGAGCAGTCCCATATAAATACTTTATAGTAGTAAAATTGTTCAAACATACATATATTTAAAGGATTTATTAATAAAAACAGCACTGATAATATGCATGAGTTGTGGAAGAAAACAAAAAATGCTATAAAACTTTTGAGAATTAGAATGATTACTTGAAAATATTTTCTCTATCGCTGTGTTATATTGTTTGATATTACAAAAAACTCGGTCTTTATGTAGAGTGAAATTGGGACATTAATACACATTTTTATAATAATATTACTTCTCACATCTGTTTTAAATCACCAGTACTCATTTCAGAGAACTTTAGGCAGAGTAGACATATCAAGTTTGAAGAATGCTACTGCCTGTTGAAAGAAAACAAGATATTTTGGTTTCTATACTGAGGTCTTTTTTTTTTCAACAGAAAGTTGCAGTTCATTGAAGTTCTCAAACCCACTAGTACTTGAGTTTATGACAGTGAATGATTAGTAACGTGTCAGTATGAACCAAAAACTACAATTTTAAACATGATTAAAACTGAGAAATACAATTTATAATTAAGCAATGAAAAGCTAGAGCAAAAATTACTCTTTTAAGATTTACAGCATAAATATTTTCCTAAGTGTTTTGCTATAGTAACATTCAAGAAACTTTAAACTTCTTGTTGTAAAGGAAACACATCCAGTGTTTTGAAAAACTTTCACATTAAATCAGTTTAAAACATCTCCAAAAGGTAAATAAGAAAGTGGTCTACATGGAAAAGTTGAAGCAAAGAAGCCTAACACGCTACTTGTAATTATGGTCGAGCATAAAGTGGAACAAACTGTGGTCAACCAAGGATCCAGGAATCTGCATTCGGAATTACGAGGAGACAATGGACCCTCTTCCATAAACTATGTACTGAACCAAGATTGGGCAAAAAGAAGGGCCACGCTCAACCCAACCAGATAGCCAAGCGTTAAACCTGAACTGGTATTACGAATTGGCTCCCGCATTGGCTGGTGCATCTCCTACTAACATCTGGGAAAAAATATGTGTGTCATTTCCATTGATAAATGTCCATCACAGGACTAAGCAAAGACTAAGACAGGCACATGGTAACCTTAGAAATTATACCCCGATGCCATGCAAAAGACTACATAACCTCTGGAGCTTGATCTTGCGGATAGAGATTGCCTAAGAAGAAATGGAAGAGGTGGACACTCATGAAGGTGCCATAGAAGCAAAAACCAGGGTGTAGCCACCAATGGGTTAGAACAAATCATATTTAATACCTTGTGTAACGTATGAATCAGTGGGAAGGCCTTAAGTTATCATTCCATCCCATCCTGATGGAATGCATCTATTACCAAAGCCCAAAAGTGAGGTACTGGAGACCAAATTACCAGTAATTGGGTGTTCCAATAAGAGGCCAACCCACCAATCAGAGTTGCAAAATGAGAACCAATCAACAGAACCTTGCAATGCAGCATCTATTCTGTTGTGAGAAGCTGTTTAGGTTGAGACAATTGATATGCTACCACAGTCATCACCTGTGGAATATGGCAATCTAGTAGGGTGATTCCACCACCATGGAACTGTCAGAGTGAAGCCTGATGATTTTCCCCTTAATAAGCCTAGACCATGAGGCATTGCCTTTTGAAGAGCAAGAAGGACTAAAACATTGTGTAAGGAACCCATGTCATCTGTGCAGAGACCCTGGAATTCCTGACTGTTAGTATATGCACCCCATCCACGAAACGAGGCATTTGGGAAAAGATAGAACTTGAATGAAGTGGCAGCAGAGGAACCCATATGTTAGTAGTGTCCTGACTTAACAACCCATGGAGATCAAAGAAAGATCCTAACTAAGGAAACTGGGGAATCCATTGAATCAATGTTTATGATCCCTCAGTCGCATAAAGACCATTAAAAGGATCTCTTGTGCTCTTGTCCCAAAGGCATATGGAATTCGAGTGATGCCCACATTCCCAAAAGAGAAAGTACCATCCATGCAGTGGGAGAAGGAGAGGTGAATAAGAGTCTGGCTTCTTGTTCCATAGGGTGAAGCCAGATGAGAGTCAGCTGAGCCTGACTGAGAGACTTGATGAAAAATAAAAAATAACCAGACTGATGACATATTGCAATGGAGGAAGAATAGATGTCTCAGCTCTGAGAATGAAGCCTGCCTTAGTTGTTTCTGAAAGTAGAATCAGGGTGTGATGTTCTGATAGTTGACGAGATGGTGCCAGCAGTAACCAGTCATCTATGGAAAGGAGGTGACAGGAAAAAAACTCGGAAGAACCCACATGAAGTCAATGTTAATCTGAAGGTTAAAAACCTTCAACTGAAATACCTGACGTTTGTGCACAAAAAAAACAACAGACAGTGGTGGGATGCCACCATTATGACAATGTGCAGATATGAGCTGACTACAAAGAATTTGGACATCCACAATCCTGGTAAAAAATTTCAACTCAGATTGAGGAATGAGTAACTTGTGACTCTTGGAGAATCTAGGCATTGACATAGATGAGAACAATCAATGACTGGACATCAATCTCATTAGGCCCGACAACCAATGGGAATAAAACCCCGGAAGAGCTAATGCGACTCTCTCACTATCCCCAGACCAGCCAAACTCTGATAGCTCTAGAACTAAGTTCCAAATCCCAAGAATCTGTGGGAGACTGAAAACCCTACAGGTTGGATGGATAATACTTAAGATGTGAACTAAATGACTAATCCTGACACAAGGACCTGTAGTGCTCCTGGATGTGTGGTTAAGGTTACCACACGTCCAGACATTCTCAGAACTGAGTCCTCACAGACACCAAAAGCATACAATAATCACCAAAACCACTGATAGTGATTTGACAAAGAAGCAGAACCCTTGGATATAGATAGAGCCTATTCTAGGTACCAATGTACTGAGGGACTGATGTCGGGGAGTTGGGATCCTCGAATAGGTGCGGAACTATGTGATTCCCTATAGAAGCCAATGAAATTTGAGATGCCAACAACAACATGGATGAATGTAGAAGCTGACAATTGAACCAATGTGTGTGCTAACAATGGCTCCAGCCCATCATCAATGAAGTTGGTGATCCCGAGTCTTGAAACAAGGTGTAGAGTAAGGAAAATGAAATGTTGTATTTTAGAGCTGAAAGTCCATAGACTTACCCTGTCCCACTAGGTGACATTGATCTATTTAGGTTAACTACAAATTCTGCCTTAGAACCCCTAAATTTGAGGAGCAGATGTATTATTTGTGCTGGCAATGATAGGCTAAATCACAAAGTTCCAACAACCAAGTCAGATAAGGCACAACTGTTCCTTCATGGAAATGAGAAGTAAACCTCCCAGCATAAACCACAATCTCATGGATGGAGAGAAAACTAAAAATTTGCTCCCAGACCTTTTAGCCATCAAGTAAGGTGCAGGCTCAAAAGCAACTGGGAAAAGACCCAAAACATCACACTCTCGATGAACCAACTGAAGAATAGAAAACAAAGGCAGCTTATCCCAAAGTGTCCTCTCTTTTTTTTTTTTAAATTAAATTAAAGACTGTGTTGATTACCATTGGTTGGAACATCATTCAGTGGGTAAATTTGTTGTGTTAGAACAAAGCAACATTGAGCTATTTGAATGAGGTGCTTACATACAATACCAGGACAGAGGGCACACTGATGTACGTGGAGAGTATCACGACACAAATATTGTCAAGGGCAATTAAGTGGGGTATAAAAAAACTGGAGCAAGTGAGAAAAATCAGACAAATGTTAAGACTGGCAAAGGAAGAAACCCTGGCAGTCGAGAAATAGCTGTACGTGTGAAAGGAGGTAAGTAAGATTTGGAATTAAGACTAGAGGAGAACTTAATAAATACCGTTTTACTGAAACTGTCATGTTTCAAAATCAAACTATTTATGCCTAATATTGTAATAACAAATATAAACATAGCAAGCAAATAACACAATTCTTTAGTGATCTTTCTTGAAAATTTAAATATTGATATCTTGGACCAATACTGTATATACTATACATATACATCACCAGGCAAAACTTTCTTTTGTCAAGCTGTTCTTCATATACGTTACAACACTTAAATCAGAATTACTAAGGAAAAGGCTGTTTTCTTACATAATAATCATCACAATTTCTTAACAATTAAACTATAATATTTTAATGTGTCACAGCAAAATTTGGAGCATGGTAGTCAGTGACATAAAAACAGAGAATGAATTAATGTCAGTACTAGGATTCAAAGATAAAGATTCAAAAGTTAAAGAAAACAGTTTTCTCCACCTGTCAT